AAGAGCAATGCTTTAGATCAGGGGTGGGCAACTGTGGCCTTCCAGCTGTTGATGAACTACAAGTCCCATCAAGCCTCTGCCTTTGGGAGTCATGCTTGTAACTGTCAGTTTTGCAATGCCTCATGGGACTTGTAGTTCTACAACAGCTGGAGGGCCACAGTTGCCCACCCCTGCTTTAGCTGATCACCTAATGGGTATAGTGCCACCTGCAGGAGTAGGATGCTAGGTACAACTTAAAAAAAAAAAAAAAAAAAAAAAAAAGTTGAAGGCGGACCTTCTGATGGCCAAAGCTTGCCATTACGTGGAACATCAAATTACACGGCAAAGCAGTACAAACAAAAGGAATATATTTATACACCAGGGTAGCCTCAAGCCCAAGAGGTGGGTGTTGTGTCCTCTAATGAACTCAAGAGAAAAGTATCACGCAGGAAGTAGAAAGAATTCCACCTCTGCTTGAGGTCATCACCTACGGGGACGTCACAACAGGGCAGGCAGATAACAGAACGGAAAATAAAGCACATTAAAAAGTAAGTACACCCAAACCTGGCATCTACCTTGTGAAACTTGGAGAACCAACGTATGACCAGCTTGCCACCTTACACACCCAATGGTGGTAGCACCAAGTTCTGCTTACCGAAACTTCACTGGAACCGGCACGGCCCTTGAAAACATACACTTGGACCACAGCATGCCAGACCGTTGCGAGATTAGCAGTTGACGTGCAAGGCCCTCTACAACCACAAACAGGCAATTCAACCTAAAAAACCTGGATATGGCCTTCAAATACACCCAGTGGGCCCGACTACATCCAAAGAACGTAAGGCGAGGTTCTCAGGGTCGGACCGGCCGGGGACAAAGTGATGGAAGCACAATGTCTTCATTCACATGGAAAGCTGATATCACCTTAGGCAGGAAGGGGGGACTCAGATGAAGGATGGCCTTAGACCTATGAAGGACAAAAAAAATGGAAGCTTGCAAGACAACGTTGCAAGTCTGGAGACTCTACATGGGGAAGTAATAGCTACTAGGAATGCCACTTTCTGAGAGGATGTCCTCAATATCCTCAAATGGCGGACGATACTAAATTAAGGTTTTTGTGGAGGAGCAAGGACGATACTACATTGACTGGAGGGTCTGATGAGTGGTACCAAACAAGGATGATACTAAATTAAGGTGAACGTCATGACCACTTGCCATTTAACACCCGAGGACGATGGCGGTAGCACACCATTTAGTGCTACTGATAACTTGGCTTGACTGGAGGAGTTTGATGGACGCCAATCTGATGGTGGTACCACTTTCTGAGAGGAACAAGGATAGCAAGTGACGATTTTGTAAATTAAGGTCAACCAGGGTGCCTGACTGGAGGAGCAATCTGATGAGTGGTACCAAACAAGGATACTAAATTAAGGTCAAAGGGTGGCCTGACTGGAGGAGCAATCTGAATGATGAGTGGTACCAAACAAGGACGATACTAGACTAAGGTCCCATGGTGACAAGGGTAGCCTGACTGGAGGAGCAATGTGATGAGTGAGTGGTACCAAACAAGGACGAACAGACTAAATTAAGGTCCAAGGGTGGTCTGACAATGTGATGGAGCAGTCTGAATTAAGGATGAGGGTGGTCTAGGTTGGCCCTCTCCAAACAGACACAAGGAGCAGTCTGAATGATGAGTGGTACCAAACAAGGACGATACTAAATTAAGGTCCCATGGTGACAAGGGTGGCCTGGCTGGAGGAGCAATCTGAATGATGAGTGGTACCAAACAAGGACGATACTAAATTAAGGTCCCATGGTGACAAGGGTGGCCTGACTGGAGGAGCAATCTGAATGATGAGTGGTACCAACGCCAGAGGACGCTAAATATAAAACCGCCAACACTGACACCAAGTCCTTAATTGTGCTTTAGGCCAACCACTGCTCCATCCCGTGCTCGAGAAAATCCATAGATGGCCAATAGCAAAAGAACAAGGGCATACCCCTAGAGATACACCCCACCAAAAATACGTCTCCCAAGTACAATGGAAAACCTTAAAGAGACATGACTTTAATCATGGTGTGGATGACCTCCTCTGGTAACCCTCTGTCCCTCAGGACTTGGCTTCAACAACCACTCATTTGAGCCATCACCTGTAAGAGAGGTAAATGGGCCCCTAAGACAACGGGTCTTCCTGAAGCAGTAGATGCCATGGAGCCTCCGCTACCAGACGATCAAGATCCACGTGCCATGACCTGCAAGGCCAATCCAGAGCCACCAGTTTACTGGAATCCTCTAGACTTCCATCCAGCAAAGTATTTGTGGCAAAACTCTAGATCAGCATATCTCCGCTGCCCTTGCCATATCTGTCCAAGGGTTCTTTGCCCTTGCTACAGTCCTGTTCACCTACCGACTGAAGCATGACTCTAGAAGATGGACATCTTGTGTTCCCCATGGAGTTGTTGGAAGAATTCTGGGAGAAAGGTCCACTTTCTCCGATCCAGCTTGCCAGTCTTCCACCCCAAGAATGTGCACTGTGGACAAGGCTGGCACACAACTCTCCGCCCATCTTAGGATGTGGGACACTTTCCATTCTCTTGGTCCTCCTGATGGTTTATCTACACCACCGCCTTGGCGTTGTCCAAGTACACCCGCAGAAGTTGTCCCTTCAGCAAAGCAGGGGGCCATCTCTTCGCTCGAAGTTCCAGAATGCTGATAGGAAGCAGAGACTAATGGGCTCCAAGAACCACAAGTGGACTGGAGACCCAGTACTCCTCCCCGGCCATGCTGGCTGGCAGCCGGCGTTACCATCTTCCAGCTCAGAGGAAGGAACGTCGTCTTGACTAGCAGATGGGAAGAATGGATCCATCAAGCTAAAGAGGACTTTGTCAGGTGACTTACCTTGATATCCCTCGCCTAGGGACAGAGGAGACTGGTTCCACTAGGACAGGACCTGAACCCTCTGGCGTTGCACCTGCAGAAACGCATCAAAGGCCGATACCACGAGCCTCAAAACTCTCTCGTATTGGCCAGTTGATGACCACGTGCAGAAGGTGAACCTGAAGTTGCATTTTTCAGTTTTACAAATGGAAGGAACATCTTGGCTTGAGGAGACATCTAAGACCAGCCACGGGTGTTCCAGGCGAAGAACCAGAATCAGAAGGACTTCTCAAGATTTAAAATCCACCCGATCCCCTCCGGGACAGCCCTGCAGGACAGGTCGGCCTTTTCAGCTGTAGCTAGAGCCCTACTCCTGTAGGTGGCAGTACGCCCAATAGTTGATGATCAGAAGAAGCTGTGTCCTCCAATGAAAGGAAGAGAAATGTCACGTTTTCACAGCGTCCCGGTCCCTGGATGTGGTGGCAGCATTAGTTTTCCTTTTCAGGCCAACAACATTTTCAGCAATGTTGATCCTGCCATAAATCCAGTTTCCTTGTAACTTCACTATACTGAAAGCTCAAATAATATCAGCTTTCCCAGCTAATCTTCACCCAACCATGGAACACCTCCCCCTCTCCATAACCTAGGAGGTGTGAAGAACTACAGAACACCTCTCCGTAACCTAGGAGGTGTGCAGAACTGCAGAACACCTCCCCCTCTCCATAACCTAGGAGGTGTGCACAACTACAGAACACCTCCACCTATGCTATGAAGATGAGGAGAGGGGGTTGCATTCTGACGTCCTGTACTAGGGGTGACAATGCTGCTCCTCCATAAATACAATACAGTGGGTGTTGTCACCCTAAGACAGGCTGAAAATAAAGGGGGGGAGGGGATGGGGTTGGACCTCCTGAAAAAAAAAAAGAAGATAAATGCAGCCGCCACATCCAAGGACCGACGATGATCACAGAAAGAGTCACACCAGAGATCTGGGCAGATATAAAAGCCACGTAGTAGTCATTCCAATTATTTTTATACGCAAGCAACGCAAGTCCAGAAATGCGATCTGGCACGGGCCTCTCGCAGTCCCTGTACAGCAGGGCTGGAGTGTGAGATGAAGAAGCAGCTGAACAGTTCATGTTCCCACAAGGAGCACGCTGATAGGAGGAGACAGCAGAGCGACAGGGAGATGCGCTCATCACTGCGCTGCTTTTCCTTTCTGTCACAGGTTGGGGGCTCGTCCGGGATGGCCCGGGCTCACAGGAAGTGGGTTGAATGACAGGAATTGCACTTCTAAAACAGTTTCTCTGGGATATTTTCAGCCCAGAAGGGAGCCAGTCACAGGTTGGGGGCTCGTCCCGGATCACCGGGGGGGGGGGGGGGCTGAATGATGCTGGTCATTAGACTGGGGACATCTAGTGGCAGAAAATAAGTACTGCAGCGTAAATCTCTGGACTGAAGGTGAATATTGCAGCAAAAGCAGTTTTTTTTTTTTTTTTCGTGGTTATCTCCATATTTATGGGTGGAGTTCTGTATCGAGGATCAGGACCCGGGAAGAATTCACACCGCTTTTATTTGTTTTTTTTCGCTGATATTTATTGTTACAATCGCAGAGCAGGAACGATAAAGCTCAAAAAAAAAAAAAAAAAAACGTTCACGGTAGGGACCAGAGGCGGGCAATCTGCAGCAGCGTGCTCCGAGGGCGGGGCATGCCGGGACACGGAGCACCTCAGCAACGGCTGACATAGACCTTCGGCCGTATCGGACACGGGACTCCACCCACACTTGGGAACAGCTTGGGAACTGCGTAAACAATAGTCGCACGACTACAGGAACGAGGCCGTAAGCGTAGCACCATCTTTACAGAACGCAGACGGGACTGGAATGGGGGAGGGGCGGGGCGTCTCACCTATGCCCGCCCCTTTATTGCCGCCAAGCTACGAAATGGAAGTCATGCATCACGATGGAAGGCCGTTCTCCTAGCGCACTTTTTTTTTTTTGGCACTTGACGCCCTCTTTTTTTCGGGGTTTCGGAAGTTGTCGCACCGGGACGCCTACGCACCTGGGCCGGCCGGGGTCTCCGGGAAACAAAAAAAAAAAAAAAAAGATGGCTCAACTCCAGAGGTTCCCCCAGCGCTCGGCCTCACTTGTTGGGGGAGGTCGGGGAATGGTGCGCTCCCGTCTCCAGCATGGCCCTCCTCCGTGCCGTCTCTTTGGCCACGCTGTGGTTCAGGCGCCTCAGACGCTCCTGTGATGACGGAAAGCGCTGGTTAGACATTGGTTGGAGAACCTACCCCCCCCCCCCACCCCCCAGTGTCACATGACGGGTTATGGTCCTTCCCCCCTCACCTGTGCGTTCTGCAGGATGTTGTTCACCAGGACGACCCTGCGCCGGGCGTTCAGCAGCTTCTTCACGTAGGGGTCCAGGTCCAGCGCCACCTTCTGGTCCTCGTTGATCTTGCAGAGTTCTGGAAGAAGACGCAAAACGCGTGAGGAGCGAAGACAAAAGCGGCCGCCGCTACGTCGCACAGCAAAAATGAGGTTGGGAGTTTATCGTGCGACGGAACAAGGCGGCTTCCATCAGAAATAAAAAATGTCCGCCGTCTCCGTATACATAGAATACACACTCTGATCCCGGACCAGCCCCCACGAGCACCTACCGGACGCCAGGCTGTCAATGTGCTCCCGGAGATCCACCTGACTCTCCCTGTAAAGGAAGGAGACATCGAACGTTACAGGCATGAATGGAGGAGCTGTCTGTGGTGGGAGAACTGACACTTCCTGTGAAGGAACACCAAATTTCCCACAATCCCCGGGACTCTCGGTCCAGTGCGGGTGACGGCTACGCAGTAATTAGATCTGACCCAGGCAGGCACAGCATTCATAGACACCATGCAGTCCTCCAGCACATGAGCGCTCCCCCATTTGTGGTGCACCACAGAGGACGTGGCGAGGCACAGATTGGGCGCTGTGTGACCCGGAACAGGAAGTCGTCTTGTCCCCTTGGTGCATAGGGACAAGCTAGATGGATGAATACATGGACAGGGGGATCGATCAGCCATGACACTACGGCAGCCTCAACGTGTGACCCATCATTACGAGGACAGAGCAGGGAAGAGAACGTCACCAACGCGCCGACCGCAACAATAGGAACGACCCCAACCACTGCACAGAACCCCAATCACAGCACCGACCCCAACCACAGCACCGACTCCAACCACTGCACAGACTCCAACCACAGCACCGACCCCAATCACAGCACCGACCCCAACCACAGCACCGACTCCAACCGCAGCACACCGACGCCCAACAATAGGACCGACCTAAACCATAGCACCGACCCCCAACCATAACAGCCACCTCAACCACAGCACCGACCCCAACCATAGGACCGACCCAAATGATAACACCGACCTCAACCACAGCACTGACCCCCAACCATTGCACCCACCTCAACCACAGCACTGACCCAAATGATAACACCGATCCCAACCATAACACCGACCGCAACAATAGGAACGACCCCAACCATAGGACCGATCTCAACCACAGCACCAACCCCAACCACAGCACCGACCCCCAACCACAGCACCGACCCCCAACCACAGCACCGACCCCCAACCACAGCACTGACCCCCAACCATTGCACCAACCTCAACCACAGCACTGACACCCCAACCATTGCACCAACCTCAACCACTGCACCGACCCCAACCATTGCACCGACCTAAATGATAACACCGATCCCCAACCATAACACCGACCTCAACCACAGCACCGACCTCAACCACAGCACCGACCCCAACCACAGCACCGACCCCAACCACAGCAACCTCAACCACAGCACCGACCTCAACCACAGCACCGACCTCAACCACAGCACCGACCTCAACCACAGCACCGACCCCAACCACAGCACCGACCCCAACCACAGCACCGACCCCCAACCACAGCACCAACCCCAACCACTGCACCGACCCCCAACCACAGCACCGACCCCAACCACAGCACCGACCCCAACCACTGCACCGACCCCCAACCACAGCACCGACCCCAACCACAGCACCGACTCCCCAACCACAGCACCGACCCCCAACCACTGCACCGACCCCCAACCACAGCACCGACCCCAACCACAGCACCGACTCCAACCGCAGCACCACGCCCAACAATAGGACCGACCTAAACCATAGCACCGACCCCCAACCATAACAGCCACCTCAACCACAGCACCGACCCCCAACCATAGGACCGACCCAAATGATAACACCGATCCCAACCACAGCACCGATCCCCAACCATAACACCGACCTCAACCACAGCACCGACCCAAATGATAACACCGATCCCCAACCACAGAACCGACCTCAACCACAGCACCGACCCCAACCACTGCACCGACCCCCAACCACAGCACCGACCCCCAACCACAGCACCGAGCCCCCAACCACAGCACCGACCCCAACCACTGCACCGACCCCCAACCACAGCACCGACCCCCAACCCCCCAACCACAGCACCGACCCCAAACCACAGCACCGACCCCCAACCATTGCACCAACCTCAACCACAGCACCGACCCCCAACCATTGCACCAACCTCACCCACAGCACCGACCCCCAACCATTGCACCGACCCCCAACCCACAGCACCAGCTCTTACAGCCTATGGATCATTACACTGAGACCAGGAGCTGTTAGTGACAGCTCGCTCTCCATGCTGGGGGCGGGCCATTGAGCGCACTTCCAGCACAGACACATTAGGTGTATATTTGGCACCCACTTCCCGCACGCATGCATGCGTTATGACGTCTCTGGTTCGGTGGCTCCTGGTGGACCCAGACGGCACTACAGATGAGAAAAGTGGGACTACAGAGAGGCTATACGCTGCCTGCAGGAGCCCCAATGCAGCCGCCTGTGAACATGCTGTAGGCAAAGACCGCCCCCTACGTAATCTCTACTCCACCCACCAGCCCTTTGACAGCATCACCCAAAAAAAAAAGCCGATAAAGTTTATTGAAGTTTAAAAAAAGGAAATTATATTGACTGAAATTCAAAACATATTAAAAAAAAAAATCATGTATTTCACACTACTGACAGCAGCTCCGAAAAGGGAAAAAACCCCAAAACAATTAACTAAAAAACAAATCAATGTAAAGAAAGAAATAATGAAAAAAAAAAAAAAGACTTTCCTGTGCGGAAATGTGAGGGAGGACTGGCGGAAAAGTCCGTCTTCAAATCCTAAATGATAATTTTTATTTATATTTTTTTTTTATTTCTTGCTTTTTATATTTCTTTTATTTTTTCATTTCTTACTTTTATTTTATATTATTTTATTTCTTTTTTTATTTTTTTATTTTTTTTTTTTTATTTTTGTTTTTATTTTTTTTATTTTTATTTTATATTTTATATTTTTTTACTTTTATTTTATATTTCTTTTTTTTTTTTTATTTCTTTTTTTTTTTTTATATTTTTTTATTTTTTTATTTCTTACTTTAATTTTATATTTATTTTTTTTTTTTTTTTTTTACTTTGTTTTTTATATTTTTTAAATTTTTTTATTTTTATTTTTATTTTATTTTTTTTTTTTTTTTTATTTTTTTATTTTTTACTTTTATTTTTATATTTATTTTATTTTTTACTTTTATTTTTATTTATTTTTTTTTTTATTTTTTTATTTTTTTTTTATATTTTATTTTTTACTTTTATTTTTTATTTCTTTAAATTTTTTTATTTCTTACTTTTTTTTTTATATTTATTTTTTTTTTTTTTTTTTTTTTTACTTTTTTTTTATTATTTATTTTATTTTTTTTTTTTTTTATTTTTTTATTAATTAAATTTTTTTTTTTTTTTTTTTTTTTTTTTTTTTTTTTTTTTTTTTTTTTTTTTTTTTTTTTTTTTTTTTTATTTTTTTTTTTATTTTTTTTTTTTTTTTATTTTTTTTATTTTTTTATTTTTTTTTTTATATTTTTTTTTTTTTTTTTTTTTTTTTTTTTTTTATTTTTTTTTTTTTTTACTTTTATTTTATATTTTTTTTTTATTTTTTTATTTTTTTTTTATTTTTATTTTATTTTAAATTTTTTTTATTTCTTACTTTTATTTTTTTTTTTTTTTTTTTTATTTTTTTTTTATTTTTATTTATTTTTTTTTTTTTTTTTTTTTTTTTTCTTTTTTTTTTTTATTTCTTACTTTTATTTTTATTTCATATTTTTTTTTTTTATGTATTTGGCAGCTGTCAGTCTAAGGGCTGGTGGGTGGAGCTGTCTTCTCGTTACGCAGAAGGTGATGGGGGGCGGGGTCTGAGCATGTCCCATGGTGGGCTGTGGAAGAAAGGTGCGAGGGATGGAGGGATATGTAGTCCCTACATCGGGGGAGGGGTTGTTTGGTGTGTGTGCTCCCCGGGGGGAACGTTTAGAAAGTTAAAAAACTGAAAAAAGGGAATTTGGAAGAGAAACATTCATTCCAGTGTACGGTCTGAAGGATCTGCTCCTCGGGGGCGGAGCTAGTTGGATCTCACCAACAGACTGAACACCTGGCCAGACTGAGAGTCCGTTTGCTGTGACCAATCCGTGTGCAACGCTTTATATCCATCGAGACACAATGAGGGGGGCGGGGCTTCAGCCCCTAAAATGTGTTGAGGGGACAGTATGGGGCCCCTCCAGCACTGAGGAGGGAGGGGATGACCGTATGGGGGCCCCCCAGAGCAGAGGGGGAGGGGAGAATAGTATTGGGCCCTCCAGGGCTGAGGGGGAGGGGAGGATACTATGGGGCCCCTCCAGGGCTAAGGGGGAGGAGAGTATGGGGCCCCTCCAGGGTTGAGAGGGAGGAGAGGACAATATGGGGCCCCTACAGGGCTGAGAGGGGAGGACACTGTGGGGCCCCTCCAGGGCTGAGGGGGAGGGAAGGACACTGTGGGGCCCTTCCAGGGCTGAGGGGGAGGGGAGGACACTGTGGGGCCCCTCCAGGGCTGAGGGGGAGGACACTGTGGGGCCCCTCCAGGGCTGAGGGGGAGGACACTATGGGGCCCCTCCAGAGCTGAGTGGGAGGACACTATGGGGCCCCTCCAGGGCTGAGGGGGAGGACACTATGGGGCCCCTCCAGGGCTGAGGGGTCAGGGGAGGAAACTATGGGGCCCCTCCAGGAGCCTTATTTGAAGCCCCCCAAATACAGGGTGGTGGGTGGAGTCAGACAGGTGGGTGGAGTCATATGTGGGCCCTCCTAGGCACAGACTAGTGGGTGGTGTCAAATGCGAGTGGGCGGAGACTAATTTGGCCCTTAGTACCCTCACAGAGGGCGGAGTCTCCCCAGCCCCGCCCCTCACCGCACGGCGTGTACATGGCAGTCCAGCTGTTGTACGGCCGGCTTCAGGAGCTCCAACAAACCCTCCGCGAACACATCCCGTCCGGGAGACACCGGAACCGCCATCTTACACCGGACCGGAAATGACATCACGCCGCCCAGACTCGCCCCCGCACTCCGGTATAAAGCATTCCGGCAACACCAGAGGCCGATTCCCTCTGTCCCCATATCGTCCGCCATCTTCCCTGAGTCTGTTCCCGATCAGTTTCAGCATGCTGCGGCTCCGACAACATGGCGGCTCCCCACTGACTGTACACAGCGGCTCGGGGACACTTCTGACTCAGGAGTACAGGAGAGGATCACAATGTTCTTTCATCATAGGAGTCACCGGGGCTAGAAATCCTGCAAAGTCACCAATAAGGTGTCACCAATACAGCGCACCCCCATATAGTGTCCCCCAATACAATGCACCCCCATATAGTGTCCCCCAATACAATGCACCCCCATATAGTGTCCCCCCAATAGAGTGCACCTCCACATAGTGTCCCCCCAATAGAGTGCACCCCCACATAGTGTCCCCCCAATAGAGTGCACCTCCACATAGTGTCCCCCCCAATAGAGTGCACCCCCACATAGTGTCCCCCCAATAGAGTGCACCTCCATATAGTGTCCCCCCAATAGAGTGCACCCCCACATAGTGTCTCCCCTTACAGCGCTCCCCCACATAGTGTCTCCCCTTACAGCGCTCCCCCACATAAGTGTCCCCCCAATACAGCGCACCCCCATATAATGTCCCTCCTTACAGCGCACCCCCATATAGTGTCCCTCCATACAGCGCACCCCCATATAGTGTCCCTCCTTAGAGCGCACCCCCATATAGTGTCCCCCAATACAGTGCACCTCCATATAGTGTCCCCCTTACAGTACATTCTCATATAGTGTCCCTCACAGTGCACCCCCATATAGTGTCCCCCCCCATACAGTGCACCCCCATATAGTGTCCCCTCAAAACAGTGCACCCCCATATAGTGTCCCCTCAAAACAGTGCACCCCCATATAGTCTTTCCTTACTGTGCACCTGCATAGTGTCCCTCACAGTACACCCCCATATAATGTCCCCTCAATACAGTGTACCCCCATATAGTGTCCCCCTTACAGTGCACCCCTATATAGTGTCCCCTTATTACAGTGTACCCCCATATAGTGTCCCCCCTTACAGTGCACCTCCATATAGTGTCCCCCCAATACAGTACACCCCCATATAGTGTACCCCCAAAACAGTACACCCCCATATAGTGTCCCTTCTTACAGTACACACCCATATGGTGTACCCTTAATACAGTGCACCCCCATATAGTGTACCCCAAAACAGTACACCCCCATATAGTGTCCCTTCTTACAGTACACACCCATATGGTGTACCCTCAATACAGTGCACCCCCATATAGTGTCCCCCTTACAGTGCACCCCCACATAATCTCCCCTTACAGTACACCCCCATATAGTGTCACCCAATACAGTGTACCCCCATAAAGTGTACCCCCAAAACAGTACACCCCCATATAGTGTCCCTTCTTACAGTACACACCCATATGGTGTACCCCCAATACAGTGCACCCCCATATAGTGTCCCTCTCACAGTGCACCCCCTTATGGTGTCACCCAATACAGTGTACCCCCATATAGTGTCCCCCTTACAGTGCACCCCCATATAGTGTCCCCCCCAATACAGTGCACCTCCATATAGTGTCCCCCCAATACAATACACCCCCATATAGTGTACCCCCAATACAGTACACCCCCATATAGTGTCCCTTCTTACAGTACACACCCATATGGTGTACCCTCAATACAGTGCACCCCCATATAGTGTCCCTCTCACAGTGCACCCCCTTATGGTGTCACCCAATACAGTGTACCCCCATATAGTGTCCCCCTTACAGTGCACCCCCATATAGTGTCCCCCCAATACAGTGCACCCCATATTGTGTTCCCCCAATACAATGTACCCCCCTTAACAGTGCACCCCCATATAGTGTCCACCCTTACAGTGCACCCCCACATAGTGTCCACCCTTACAGTGCACCCCCACATAGTCTCCCCTTACAGTACACCCCCATATAGTGTCCCCCCTTACAGTGCACCCCCACATAGTGTCCACCCTTACAGTGCACCCCCACATAGTCTCCCCTTACAGTACACCCCCATATAGTGTCCCCCCTTACAGTGCACCCCCATATAGTGTCCACCCTTACAGTGCACCCCCACATAGTCTCCCCTTACAGTACACCCCCATATAGTGTCCCCCCTTACAGTGCACTCCCATATAGTGTCCTTCCTTACAGTGCACCCCCATATAATGTCTACCAATACAGTGCACCCCATAGAGTGTTCCCCCTTACAGTGCACCCCCATATAGTGTCCCCCTCAATACAGTGTCCTCCAGTGTCCCATATAGTGTTCCCCCTTACAGTACACCCCATATACCTTCTCAAAATAGTGTCCCCCATTACAGTGCACCCCCATATAGTGTCCCCCAGAAAGTGTATCCCCCATAGAGGGTCTATCCCCTCCATACATTGCACCCCCTATAGTGTCCCCCTATACAGTGCACCCCCTATAGTGTCCCCCCAGAAAGTGCATCCCCATATAGTGTCTCTCCCACCATACATTGCACCCCCATGTAATGCCCCCCTCATACAGTGCACCTCCATATAGTTCCCCCCCGAGAAAGTGTATCCCCCATATAGTGACCTATCCATGCAGTACACCCCTTTATAGTGCCCCCCCAATACAGTGCACCCCACAGAAAGTGTATTCCCCCACACAATGTACCCCCTATTTAGTGTCCCCCCCCCAGAAAGTGTATCCCCTATTTAGTGTCCTTCCCCACATACAGTGCACCCCCCATAAAGGGTATATTTGGAGGCTCACCATATGGGGGAGGTCAGGTACCCGACACCCTCACACACTACCTGCTCCTGTGGAGGGGGGGGGGGTAAAGGGGCCCTGTCAGGACAGGAAGATGAGAGCCACCATTGCCTGTTCTCGGCTACGGGTCAGAGAAGGAGATGGTACCGGAGCTCCTGTAACACATCAGCAATGGCCACCCCCCCCCCCCCCCCCCCCATGTTTCTGTCCGGAGAGGTGTACAGGGAACCCGGCCTTTAAAGTGACAGAACAATGAGACCCCCCCCCCCCCCCTTCGTCTTCTCTCAATAACTTTATTAACCCTGTAAAGACCAGCTCCACCCCAACCTCGACTGGTCAGAACCTCTGTCAGGTTTTCTTTAGACTTTTGTAACATAAAAAGCCAACAATGTTTCTGGGGGTTCAAATCCAACCCCCTCCCCCCCTTCCTCATCAGGGTTTGGTGTGTACTACACTGATAGAACAGCAGGGGGGGGATAATTTGTCTGATAGTTGGGAGACTTATCTGGAGCCATCCCGGAAATAAATGTGTTCAGAAGGACCAGCACTGATGAAGCCCCCGAGCACCCGAAACATACCGGCACTGATGAAGCCCCCGAGCACCCGAACCATACCGGCACTGATGAAGCCCCCGAGCACCCGAAACATACCGGCACTGATGAAGCCCCCGAACACCCGAAACATACCAGCACTGATGAAGCCCCCGAGCACATGAAACATACCGGCACTGATGAAGCCTCCGAGCACATGAAAAACATACCGGCACTGATGAAGCCCCCGAGCACCTGAAACATACCGGCACTGATGAAGCCCCCGAACACCCGAAACATACCGGCACTGATGAAGCCCCCGAGCACCCGAATCATAACGGCACTGATGAAGCCCCCAAACACTTGAAACATACCGGCACTGATGAAGCCCCCGAGCACCCGAAATATACCGGCACTGATGAAGCCCCCGAACACATGAAACATACCGGCACTGATGAAGCCCCCGAACACATGAAACATACCGGCACTGATGAAGCCCCCGAACACCCGAAACATACCGGCACTGATGAAGCCCCCGAACACATGAAACATACCGGCACTGATGAAGCCCCCGAACACATGAAACATACCGGCACTGATGAAGCCCCCGAACACATGAAACATACCGGCACTGATGAAGCCCCCGAACACCCGAAACATACCGGCACTGATGAAGCCCCCGAAACACATGAAACATACCGGCACTGATGAAGCCCCCGAGCACCCGAAACATACCGGCACTGATGTAGCCCCTGAGCACCCGAAACATACCAGCACTGATGTAGCCCCCGAAAAACATACCGGCACTGATGAAGCCCCCGAGCCCCCGAAATATACCGGCACTGATGAAGCCCCCGAGCACCCGAAACATACCGGCACTGATGAAGCCCCCTCCTGGAGATTACCCCTCACTTCCTGTTGAAGTGACCCCCAGAGGAAGTGAGAAGAATTTCCCCAACAGACACGCAGAGAGCATCAGATTTCAAACTCAGGTTGGAACCCATGTTGGGGAGATTCTGCTCTCTTCCTGTCCCAGTGAGCACACAGGAAGTGAGGGGTGAATCTAACCAATGGGGGACACGGAGGATATAAACCTGACAGGGGCTCTCACTCTTTCATCTTCTATGCAGAACTATAGGAAATACTTTTATTAGATTCCTCTGGTAGCCCTGGCTGAGGACCTTAGTCTCCGCCTAGCTTGGAGTGAAGCCCCGCCCTAGTCTGCTGGGCATTGAGAGCCTGGCATTTGACTGCTGGCTGATGGGCGGGGCTTAGCACCACTTAAATTTAGAGCTTTGATTGGAAATTAACTTTAAAGAGACCCTGTCACTACCCGCTCCTCAGCAAACTAAACATGGCAGCAATTCGTGTCACATGACCCCCATTATTCCTCCCAATGAAAAATCAACACTTCCGGGAGTGTCAGACAGAATGCCGTCCAGGGCACCCACAGGGCCAACACTCCATCATGTGACAGACAGGTGACACCGCTCCCTCCATCATGTGACAGACAGGTGACACCACTCCCTCCATCATGTGACAGACAGGTGACGCCGCTCCGGCCTCATGTGACACATATGACGCCGCTCCCTCCCTCATGTGACAGACAGGTGACGCCGCTCCCTCCCTCATGTGACATACAGGTGACGCCGCTCCATCATGTGA